GATGTGCTTGGCCTGCATGTGTATTTGGGTTGGGGCAACGGTAACATTCCTATTCTAGAAAGAGTCAGAGCTGTACCAGAGGAATGCTTGCTACCTCTGTTCATCCTTCTTGCATAAAACCAGCTTTTTAGAGAACCATATTTCTTTTAATGGACGGGGGTCCACAGAGCTATTGCAACTGCCTTGCAAATACGCTCACAAAAGCCGCTAGCTTGGTGGGGGCTGGAAGCAGCCTGCTGCCTGGGGGGGGGTAGTTGCTCCGTAGGAGAGCCCCCGCCGTGCATGCAGGGAGTCCCAGGTTCAGTCCCTGGCATCTTCACACAGGGCTGGAAAAATTCCTGCCTGAAGAACCGCCTCCTCCAGCCCTGTTGACAATATTGAGCTGGTGGGTGCCTGTGGGTGCTGCAGCCGTTCCGGCCAGAGGAAAGGCAGAATGCTGGATCCTGCCAGGCGAGTGCGCGAGTCGGCATCGTGACGCTCCTCGCCTGAACCCCGTGCAGGCAAATAGGCAGATTAGAGGAGGGCAGGATGGCGGCTTCGACACTCTGCATCTAGCACAGGGGCCATCCAGGGTGCCAGAGGAGGGAAAAACCTCTCTGCCTCTTCTGCCAGTTTCCAGCAGGTGTGCTCCCTCGCTTGCTTGCTTGCTTGTTCGTGTTCTCTCTCTCTCTCTCTCTCTCTCTCTCTCTCTCTCTCTCTCTCTCTCTCTCGCGCGCGCACACACACACACACACACACACACACACACACACACACGGGCTGTGACACTAGTCCTCTGTGGTTCTTTCGCTCATGGCCAGAGTCGGGTGTCCATGCTCGAGAAGGCTTGTGGCTCAGTGGTAGGGCACGTGCCATTCATGGAAAGGGCTGCGTCCCCGGCTTCCCTGCGTGGGGCTAGGAAGGACTCCTGCTTGAAATCCCAGAGGGCAGCCACCTCTCCGTGTAGACAGTGCTGAGCCGGGCGGACCAGCGGTTGAACTTGATGTCAGGCAGCTCCCCACGTTGCTATTAATAATAGTGTTGAATGGTACCTCTTGTGGTGTATGTCAAACTGATACGTTCATATGTTATATTCCAGCCAGTTGCAATCTGATTAATGCCAGTACTTGCTCACATCCTATTTATTTCATTTCTGTGCTGCCCAGTGGCCTGCAGGCTCTCTTACAATCAGTTCTGTGCTTAAAGGTTTGTGTTTTTAAGTTTTATTGATACGACTTAATGGATGCTTAACACCTGGCTGGAAAGTATGTCAGTTTCTTTAGGAGCCTGTATCAAATTTTTATGCACAACTCTAAATGCATTGGAAAAACCTTTAAAGTTTCCAGAGCCTGGGGGTTCAGTTGCCTGGCAGTGCCCCATGCTAGACCATAATTTCAACAAATGTGTTGCTTGCAAATGCAGGATTTTTAACAAAATGGTTTCTGTCCCATCCCTTAATACTTATGGGGCATATCTGTATTTAAGTATCTCATCAATTGGTGTGTTTGCTTTTGCCGTTGTGAAGTAGGATTTGGCCTGCCCTTTTGGAAGGATATAAAATGTATTGTTTTTACTGCTTTTGACATAATGCAGTAACTATTTCAGCAGCAATTTCTCGTGGCCTGATGCATGCAGGGTATACATGGGCTTCTGCTCCAAGGTGCTGGAGTACATTTTCTCCCCCAGCCGGTCAATTCAATCTTAGCAGTGTGGATGGTTTCAGGAAAATGTGCTTCCTGCTCTTTTAGTGCCAGGGATATGAAAGTGGAGTTGGGGTGTTGAGGGAGAGAGAAAGATCAGTTTTGTTAGCAAAGTGCAAAGGTTATAGTTTCTTTGCCCCAGGTAAGGGGGGGGGTCCTAAATCATGGAATGGGTGGGAGGAGAAAGGAAGAAGAGCTTGTATGGTAGACAGTTGTCTCCCAATGTCCAGCAGCTGCTCAAGGTTTGATTCCCACAGGGCCAAAACTGAACTATCCTTGATTCATAAAGAGATGCATTTGTTTTAATCTGTATCTGTACGAATGAAATTCAAGCCAAGCAGTTTACTGCTGCAAAACAAAGGTGCTATTTAAAAATGAATTTCAGGAAAGATTTGAAAACAAATTGCAGAAGAGTGGCTGTGTTGGTCTGTTGCAGCAAAACCAAGAGTTCTAAGGCACCTTAAAGACAAAACTTTTGTGGCTTAAGACTTTGTGAGTCATCACATGCATTAGTTGTGAGATAACAGTATACATGCCAGGGGAGGAGGAACCCAGTCTGTTTTTTGAAATGCAAAAGGTACAGGCTGTGACAATTTTATTGAAGTTTAAATGTATGTAAAATAAACACAGTGTCCATTCACAACAGTAGTAAAGCTTGGATACTCTTGCAAGTAATTTATTGCTTACAAAGCATCTTCCTTTTTATTTAAAAATAAGCTCAAAATAGCGTACGAAAAATCTACAAAATCCACAATAGAAACAGTTTAAACTACTAAAAATTTCTTGCTGCAAAACCAAGAGTAAGGAAAAACGATTCAGCTTAAAAACAGGCAGATAGAACCATACTAAAAACTTGCTGAAATAAGAATGTTTTGGTGGCTCACTCAAAGCTTGGGAACATGTGGGAGATGTTAACTAAACCCCTTAAGTGAAGGTGTTTCAGAAGCTGAGACCTGCAATAGGAAAAGGCCATTCTCGCCAATTATGCTTCCCAAAGTTGCATAGCGGTGCTTTAGATGTCAAATGCAGAGGGCAGACTCAAGTTGGTGGAGGAATATTTCAATATCGAAAGCCCAGTCAGTTAAGAATGTATAGTGACATTATAGCTGTTACAACTCGTAAGCATAATTTTTACAGTCTTTGTGATCTTACTTGAGAAATAATATTCCTTCAAATATAATAAAATATTTAGAAAATGTTGGCCACCAGCTGGCTTGATGAGAAATACTTAATTTCTTCCAGTTAATTACATTTCCTTTCTGAGCAACGTAACTTGCTCTACCTGCTTTAGACAAAAGATCAGTCTGGCTGGCCAGTCCCCGTTAACAGTCTCGCGGCTTTTATCATGGACCAGCTGAAAGAGCCCCATCTATAAAGTGTGGCCGTAATCCAGAGGATGGGCTATTAAAGAATGGCTTTCTGTAGCTTAGCTACCTCTGAACAGGCGGGATGATTAAATGCCCCGCGTGCCAGCAAGTCCACCTCTAGAGATAATGCTGGATGTGAGAGCGCCCTGAAACGGCAACCCCAATATGCTGTACAGATGAATAAGCTCAGCCCTATTCCAGTACTATTTGTATAAAGGGACAACTGATTGCATGTCTTAGGCTGTACTTGGACTGCCCTTCTTGATCTGTTCGTTTTTTGGCTAAAAGTGGCAGAGAAGCAGGTTCCTAGTTGCCTCTCTGTTTACGTAGAAATCGGTTTATTTCGAGCTCAGGCTTGGGCTGCTAGCAGCTCGGGTTACCTCAAGTAGCCGGAGCACCAGCACCGTGTGCATACAAGCAGCCTCCTCGGAGCGCCGCTGGGTGTCCTCTCCTGGCTAGACCCTCTGCAAGCGCAGAACAGAAGAGGGAGTGCATCTTAGTCTCCTCCAGCACAAGGCGCTGTTGTCAACACGGCCGGAGCACAAAGGCAATTGAAGAACAGGTCTGAACAGACCAATTTGTCGGGTAAACCGACCCCTCGGAAGTAATACTAGCTTATTCATCAGGACAGAATGTTTTGCAGCCTTGCTGCTTCTAAGGAAATCCAGTGGCAGCGTTTTTAAGGAGCTGCTTCTGCTGCAAGTCGAGGCGATGAACGAAAGGCCTTCGAGGCGCACATGCCTGCTGCTGGGTTCAGTTCGGCCTCCAAAGTGCCTGCCGGTTAGGGATCGCTGCTGGAAAGCAGGTGTGTGCCTCCGTGGGCTCAGGGGAGGCTTTCTTGGGTGTTTCAGTATCGGTACGCATAGCTCCCACCGTTTTGGTGCGACCAGAGACAGGACCCAGAATGGGACTGCAGGCGGGGCCGGCGGAGTTCTCGGTGGCCGAGCGTTGTGAGGATCCCAGGGTTGGACAGAAGGATGTTTTTCCCCCGTGGTGTGGTCGTGCTTTCTCTCACGAGCTGCCCTTTGCCCCATGGGACAAGGAAGGCACTTGCTGACAGCATTCCAGCCAGGAGCAAGCCTGCCCCCACCCTGGATGCCACACAGCCTCACAACGGTCCGGTGATGGTGAGCGAGACGTGCAGTGTTGCTTTGCAGGGATCTGCCTCCTCCTGGCTGCAAAGGCCTGATGACAAGCCTTTTGTAGTAATACTGCTCTTGAGTTCCCTTATAGATATTTGTTGGCCTTTCAGGAAATACTTCTGTCGCTTCGGGGGGCTGTTCTTGTGGAAGTTACGGCCTGGGACCCAGAAAGAGGCATTCCAATCAGAAATACGTCTTCAGCGCTGCCGCTGATCTGATGCTGGCTAGTTCGCTTAACCGCTCCAGTGTTTGCTTTGCCCAAACACAAGATGAGGCTAATTGAGGACTCGTCAGAGGCCACTCTGTTTCTGCACATAAAGCACTTGAAGATGCTTGAGTGGAAGGATGTAATTTGTACATCCACTGCAGCAAGATCAGGAAGGGACCTTTGCGACAATGCAGCAGGGCCATCCGCTCCCAGGAAGCAGTGGCATCCTGCTCAATAGCTGCTGTGAGGCAGCTTCCTTACAGCAGATGGTAAAAAGGAAAACCATGTCCCCAAAACCTGTACGAACCCAAAATAGCTGGAAGGTGGCACGGTTAAAATAGGCAAATGATCTCTTTGATGTTCTTATCAGCTGCAGGCTTACACTGGTTGATAGGTACATGTTGATCCTTAGAAGCAGAGAACACGGCAGGGCTTATCCTAGGAATCTGGAAGCAAGTCTAGATATTGCAATGATTTTTGGTTTTTATGTGTATCAGTATTTAATAATGGGTTCTTTCTCTTATTGTTCTTAATGAAAACACAGCTAATCATTTAGCTTTCTGTGCATTTGTGACCTATTTTTTGAGTCAGGAACTGCTTTTTATTCAAGTTAGTTTTTCCTTTGAGGCAATGGAGCCCTGGGGAAGCAAGGAACTTCAGACTGAAGAAGAGACGGGTTTTCCCATGGCAGAGGTAGACAGAGTTTGAATTAAAATAGAATGTGCTGCATTAATTACCAAACTTTAAATATTATATTGGTTATCAAGTAAAGTGAGACTTGTATGCAAGTAGAATTGTGGTTAGGCACGTAATTTGTTAGAACTGTTTTTGAAAAGTACTCTAACTAATTTCTGCATTCATCCATCTTTTATTCAGTTGCTCATTGTGAATATGACTCTCTTGACTGAATTGTATGGAAACTGATAAAGTAAAAAGACTGCAGCCAGAAAGATAGGTGCAGTTTTTGTGTGTTGCAAGGTAGAGTTCCACTTCCCAACATAAGTGTATGTGAGAACAGAAGGAACCCTAGAGGTGTCAGAGAAGGCAACAGGTTGTCATTAAACCCCAGATCTTTTCTCTTACTAGTTTTAGGCTACAGCATTGAATCAAGATGTCTGACTTTTTTCCTCCCGGACATTGTAAAATGCTTAACCGTCAACTGCCTTGTCAGGTTCATGGCTTATCTCTATGGTTGTGGGTTGGATTCATGCGAAGACTGCTCTGTCTTGCGGGCCATCCTGCTCTCCTCAGATTAAGACTTTTTAGGATTTTGGCATGCTGCATTAAGGGTGCTAGAAAAAGTAACTTTGGGTCACAAGCTTAGGTCCTGGTTGGCAGCCCCTTTCCCTTGCATGTCAGATGACGAGGGGTTCATTTCTAAGAACATACCACTTAAAGGATGCTCCTGTGACTGAAATTTAAAAATACTTTTTCCTGAAAACTGGTACAGTGATGAAGACGTGAACTCCTTTGATGCCACTCTCGGGAAAATAGCGCAAAGCTGTCACCCTAGCGCCCCCCTAAAGAGCACACTTAATTTTGTCATGTCAGTGTTGCGGACAACAGCTGAAAAGAACATCCTTAACGATTATACTCTGATACGTTTAAATGGAGTGTAATTCATTTAATGTATTACAATTATGGCAGAAATATTTGTTTTGTGAACTATTTTAAGTGCAAAGTATTCTGACAAATACATTCTACAAATGAACTGACTATGGCTGGGAAAGAACTGATTTTTGTATTCCCATTTTATATAATCATAGTGAGGCTTCTTGCCCCTTGCAGAAAGCTAGATTTCAGTGGGCCACTGTCTTTTCTTTTGTCCTTCCTTTCCTTTTCGTCTTATATCTGTCTTTATTAATTTCAGAGGTCGTACCAGTGCCAAAGGATTGTCTCAACCGACGGTAGGTACATGTTTTCGTATTTCGTATGATGCTGCTTTGACAAGCGTCTTTTATATTGTTATTTATTTTATATTGTTATTTTTATATTGTTATTTTTGTATTTTATTTTATGTTGCGAGCCGCCCCGAGGCTTCGGCAAATGGGGCGGCATAGAAATGTTTTAATAAATAAATAAATAAAATGATGGGATATGATTTGAGTGGGATACTCAGGAAGCAAATATCTCTTTCAAATGGTTAAAACTGCCCTTTATGATAAGCACATCTGTCGTGCTCCCTACCTTTCGGGACGAATTCGATATAACTCTCTGGCCAGCCCGTAAGCATTTAACAGCAGGCCTGAGGGTTCAAATGCCAGGCTTGTCTAGTTCAACCACACGATCACGGGACACCACGAAGGGGCATGTCAGTGCAGCAGCATCCTTCTGCTCCTGTTTCACAGCGACTAATCCCGGTGCGCACCTGTGCAGCGGAGAGGGCACCTGCCCCCCACCTGCCCCCCTTCGCATGTCCGCATGGGGTTATGGCCGTCAAACGAGGCACGAGGGAATGCTGGCCTGCCCCTTTCCTTGCAGGGACGTGTGGTCCTGAAATGACCTTCGGGATGAATGGCTGAGAGTGGCATTTTTGGTCACCTGATGCACAATGTTTTTCTGTGGGGGTGTCGGCTTTTAATAGGCTTGTATCAAGAAAAGCCGGAAAAAAAGAAAAGCAAAAAAAAGACATAATGGCTTCCCTGCTGTTTACAGACAAGATTTTACTTGGGAATATGACACTTCAATCTGACAGATTTTAAAGGTATTTTTGGTAATGCTGTGGTCCATAGGCATGATAATGTAAAGCTGTTGCTAGTGGCAGCACCCAAATATTATCATTCTTATTCGAGGTGGGAAGCACTTTCCTCTCCCTTCTGTGGTTTAAGACAGGCGTGATCCGATTTTGTTTACTCGTGTTTGGGCCTATTTGTGTGTCAGATTTGTTTGTTTCCACCTTGGCTGCAGTGAGCAGAAGGGGTGTGCATGCCTGAAAGTTTCTTGAATTAGCGTTACCAGCCATGGAACTGCTGGCCCTTATATCCCGGCTTTCTCCCATTGTTGCTATTCACCCATAAGAAGATGAGCCGCTGCAGCTAAGTTTGTCTTTGGCAGAGCTTTGCTGTTCCCCCACCTGAATTTCTCCTGCAACACTTAAAAGTGATAGAAAATGAGTTAGCATAGATTTGCCTGATTCCGCCATACCCTTGTGTTGCTAGGAACATGTGTCATTCACAAAAAAGACCAATTAACTGATGTCTTTAAACCAAAAATACATAGTTTAGGATGTAGAAGTCAGCAGATATATATTATATTATATATGGAATTTTTGTATGCCGTCCCATTCGCATAAGCCTTGGGATGGCTTCCAGCATCATAAATAAATACATATGAAATACATACATATAAAATCTGGAAACATCCTGACTCAAAATTATAAAACCAATAAATAAAATCAATAATTATTTAAATATCGTTTGAATAAAAAGGTCTTGGCCTGGCGCCGAAAAACAAATAACGACGGCGCCAGGTGGACCTCTCTGGGGAGCGCATTCCATAAGTGGGGCGCCACCACAGAGAAGACCCTCCGCCGGGTACTCACCCTCCTAATACCTTTCGCGGAGGGCTCCCGGAGAAGGGCCCCTGCGGCCGATCTCAAGGGGCGGGAGGGCAAATATGGAATATACCCCCACAGGCTAATGGGTGATGTCACAAACCCAGTGCGCTTCACTAGAAACAGGGCTGGGTTGCACTTAGGCAGGAGGACACAGCAGAGAGGAGGAGTGTTAGCTCATCAGTAAATTAATGACGATGGGGATTTCATTTTGCCCATAAAAGTTAGCGGAAGATGGCGAACTGTTCCAGTTTAGAATCTTGGGCACCATTGCTCGTCCGCACGTGCGGAACCACCGAAAGCAGCTGCCTGGGCGACATTTCCCCCTCGGTAGGGTCGCCTGGCCTGGAGAGTTATAATGTACATTTATTTGTACTGACAATTGGCCGTCACAGAGATCCATGGAAAGGTCCTTTCCCCATGGGCTGCGGGGCTCCTTGGCACGGCATCTGGTTTTTCTGTTAGGCGTGTGGCACCTCGCGCTGGTTTTGTTTGAGGTGCCAAGCAGTAGATGGGGCCTCTTTCTTCATGGGACCCTTGTTTACCGTGGGGTCACTAGCTCTGATACTTTCCAGTAAAATTTGGGATGCTTTATTCCTGCTTCTCCAAGTGCCTAAAGCAGGGGTAGGCAACTGGCGATCCGCCAGATCACTGGAAGGTGTTGTTGGGAATCGCAAGCCAAAAAGTGGCCCACCCCTGATCTAAAGCTAAAATATTTCAACTTAATGCTATTAGTAAGAAGGTTGAAATGATGGCATGAGATGCAGGCCATTTCCGGGGTTCTGTGCGTACTTTAACAGAATCTGCTAAATCCTGTGCCAGGGAACACAGAATTGTTCTGACCTGTATAGATCATGCAAATTTGACCATGAGTGTATAATGTAACATTAATTTGAGTCTTTTGCATAGTTCTGCTAGCATGTGACAGGGCTGGGCTTCGTTCTGATTACAGGAAAACTTGCAACACCCCTGTGATTTCACCAGGCATTGCCAAAATGCATTTAAACGCAACAAAGATAAAATAAATATTTTGGGAGCCGTAAGGACTGTAAACCATTTTTTCTCTTTTTTTAAAGCAGAGTAGTAGTGGCGGACCCTAGAATGTTGATTCACGTGCCCTATAATACCATGATCTGAGGATTTTGTTGTAAGATAACATGAAGCTCATCTTAAAAGTGTTTTGAGTGTTTAGACACGATGGGGGTGGGGGGAACTGCGTGCAGGTGGGGTTGGCCGGGGTGGTCACTTGAGCATTGTCAGCCGTCACCTGTCATTGTCAGTTGTCAGACGTTGCCTGTTGAACACACATGATTTGTCTGTGGTCGAATTTTGTCAGATATTCCAAGAATGCCACTCTTTATGCTGACTTTGCTTGTTCTCCCCTAATGTTTCATGCTTTTAAAAAAAGCACATGACTATTATTTCACTGGTCAGTTGACTGAATCCTTTTGACAGGTCAAGCTCACAGCCCTACTCCTTCCTTTGGTAATTGATTGACTACAAGAGCTTTTCACACCTAATGGTGGCAAATTGTGGGTTGATTAACCCACACTGTACACATTTGTGGGTTGTAACTGTGCCATATAGGCCCAAGCATTGCTTATGGGTTAAATAAGCTAAAGGTAAACCATGGTTTGATCCTGGGTTAATTTTGAGTAACTCGAAGTGCTTTGAGTTCAGATGTCACAAACTGCAAATGTGATTTGTGGGTTATTGTTGGAAAGTGGAGCAGCTTACATCTAGCGTGTTGTTGCATTTTGTCACTTAATTAACCCCCTGTTTGCTACCCGATTCCACCATTATGGGCAGACAAGCTCTGACTCTGTGTTTTGATTCAGTTTGATTAACTCAGCCATGATGTTTCCTGTGGCTTCATGGTTTTTTCCCCTGTTCACCACCTGAAGTTTTGTGACGTGTTGCTGTGACTTGATGCGTGCTAAGACCGCTTTCTTTCTTTTCTTTCTCTCAGATATCTTTGCAAGGCATATATGCAAACATGCGAATGGTCCACATACTCACGTCAGTTGTCGTAAGTTATGGTTGTCTTTCTTTGAGGATGCTCCACTTAAAACTGCCACTGAAAACTTCTTAGTGCTTTCGCGTGGCTTTCCTCAGCATGGTGCCATTCAGGAGGGTTGTCTAGTCCAGAACTCCCATCCCCTCCATCATCCAGACCCATGGACATGGCATGTGCGGGCTGCTGGGGGTTATAATGCAGCACATCTGGATGGTGCCGGGTGAGGGAAGTCTGCTGGAACCCAGGTGCACTTTTGGGAAACACCCCCGTCTGGCACGAATGCCTCTTGGCTCTTTCTGTACTGTGAGGTTGGCAGATACTTTTCCTCTGTGACTTCATATTCTTCACGCAGAACTGAAATTCTAATTCTGTACACCAGGCGACCGTGGGTCGTGTTGTCAGCTTTCATTTTTGTAAAAGAAGGAATGCCCAGCAGAAGTAAGCTACTGATCCAACATTAGTTGTATACGTGTAGATGCTCAAAGCAAGCGTTAATTGCCATGGCGAATGTTGCAACCAGCTCAGCTGGAGGAGTCCAAACCTTTCTGAAGCATCATCACATCGGTTGGAAGTGCTGCTCATCGGAGTGTTGGATTTGGTCCCGAAGAAACTCCAGTTCCAATTCTTACTCCATTGTGAGGCCTGCCGAGTGTTGCTGCTGAGTTGTGCTCTCTGTCCACACAACGAACCTGGGAGGAAGATTTAGGCAAAATGTGGCACATAATCTGTTTTGTGTGACCTCTGCAGCTTGGCCTGTCTCCCCACCCCATGTGAGCCCACCTTGAGGTCCTCCACCACAGTCACCTGTGAAAAAGCGAGTGGCTTTCTCGGCAGAAGGTCTTCTTGACTGAGGCACCCCGGAAGCGGCCCGGCCTCTCAAAAGAAATACGCCGGGCCCCCCTCACTGCCTGTTGTAGAAGGGCAGTAAAGGCAGCTTTATTTAAGCAGCCCCCTTCTCGATATATTCTGGTTTTCGTCTTTATCTGCTCTTGCTTTTTGTGTACATTTGAAGGAAGGTGGGCTCTAGATTAATTCAGAATAATAAGCCAGCATGGGACAAATTAATATTCATGTGTTGGGACTTGATTCCGTTTTGCAGCGGGAGCTTTTTGGTGGCAGAGTGCGCAAAATAAAGGAACCAAGGTTGATCAGGGCCAGGGTGGGGGATGGATGGGGACGTTGCATAAAAGTATAGTGAGGTGCCTTTGTGTGGTTATCTAAACTGCTCGATGTTGCATTTCTCTGCTGTGCTGTGCTTTGTTTTCTAATCCTTTTTACTACAGTGAGAGTTCCTTTTGACAAGTCCCCCTCCTTTTTTTAACATCTAGGGATCAAAATGTGAAGTACAAGTGAAAAATGGAAATGTATATGAAGGAGTTTTTAAAACGTACAGCCCTAAGGTAAGCGCATTGCACCCTGCTTTCTCGGGTGTGGAGTGTTTGTGCCGGGGAGCTTGTCTTCCTGGTTTTCAGTTAAATCACCAGCATATAGAATTAATTGATGTGCAACCCATAACATTAAGAATTTACTTTTTTTCTGCTGGAAATGATGTAAGCAGATCTAAAACAGGTCCTCTTCTCAAATGTTAACTTTTTTTTTTTTTTTGATAAAAGGTTACCTGCTACAGAAATGTTACCTCTTCCTCCTGCAGGAGCTAAATTCTAGTAGACTAGAAAGATGAAAAGCTCTTCTCTGGGCAGGACTTTGAGCAAAGTAAAAACAACGAGCTGTCTATTGATGCAGCTTGATTGTAGTGTGTGTGTTTTTTTGGTCAGGCATTTTTTGAGCGAATTTCTGCTGGTTCAGTTGTTGCAGGTCAGGAATGGACAGCTGGTGACCCCCCCGATTTTTCAGCCCCCATCCTTTATCGTTAAATGTGCTGCCCAACGCTGATGGCAGTTGCAAACTGAAACATCTGGGGGCTGCAAGTTGCATACTCCTGCTCTAGATTTTGAATTTGTCTGGGCTAAAGGCGTGCATGTATTCTGAGCTGGTGCAGCCATGCAGTACCGGTTCCCTTTAAACCATGGTTTTCAAATTAAAAGCAAGGGTTGTTATCACGTACACCCTACTCTTCCTCCTCTTTTCCCCTTGCTTCCTTTCCTAGTATCAAACATTTCTTTGTTTTGTCTGTGTACCATGCAGTCTTGGTTCAGGCAAATCGGAATTCTTCCTATGCCAGAGCTGAAATCCATTGTTTGGAGTAGGGTTGCAAACCATAGTTATGCGGGATCCTGGGCTGAATGAGTGATGGTTTGTGTTGATGTTGGCATACCTGTAATATGAAGCTATGATTAATTCTGAGGGAAGGGGAGAAGACAGCCTAGAGAAGTGAAGAAGGTAGGGAGAGGAGTATGCATTTACCTCCTGATTTTTCAGGTCAAAATATGTGGAGAGCTAGGTTTAAGTTTATACCACCTGCAGCTTATGTTAAGTCTCATGATAGCATAAACTAGTTGGCTTAAGTGCTGACTGTTGGGATAAACTTTCTGGCACACTTGAGCATTTCAGTCTTGGAAAAAGTGTTATTTTTAAACCTTTTGTTTTACTCTTGATGTTTTTCCAGAAGACAGTGTCTAATTAAGTTCTCCTTGTGTTTCAGTGTGATTTAGTGCTTGACGTAGCTCATCGGAAAACTGCAGAATCCAGTCTGGGGCCAAAGCTAGAAGACATAATAGAGAGTATCTTGTTCAAGTCTTCAGATTTTGTTATGGTGCAGTTCAAAGACATGGATTCAAATTATGCACGAAGAGGTATTTTTTCCCAATATGTCAAAGTGGTTTCTAAACTATTACTAGAGGCTGGGCTTTTTTGTTTCTGCATTAAATGGACCCAGAGCATGAATTCACATAATGCAGTGACAGTCTGACTGGCAGCGGCTATTCCTGGGTTTTGGCCAGGGTTCTTCTGCTACTCTTAAGATGTTGGGGATGTGCCATAAGACCGAGCGCTTTAGTGGCACTTGCTTTGTTTCCAGCCTGTTGAACACTCTGTCCCAAAAGCACCACCCATTGTCCCACAGGCACATTGGAAGCCCTCGGGCTCTGGAAGTATTCAAAGAATGCAGCCCTTTGCCTCGTCTTCAGTGCGAAATGCTACTCGCTACAGTACTTCAAGAAAACAAGGGACAATGTTCGCTGTCTTGTCCCCATCCTCATTATGGGCTTCCATAGTGAGGGGTGTTTTAAACATAATCTGGGCTTTCAGGTTCTGGTCAGAGCTGCCTTCAGCATTGTCTGCAAAACACGGAAGGGGGAAAATGAGTCTCTGTGGGCTCCCTTTTTTGAGGATGTCTTTAGTGCCTGACTGGCAGGAAGGCTCTGCCAGAGATCAAAGCCAGGCTGGATCCGAAAGCAGCAAGCAGTTGAGCAGGAAATAAACACAGCAAAATTGCCAGCAAGCTCAAATCATGAGCAGTGGCTTTAACGAATCCTTTGTGTGTTCTGGAGTTAAGATCCTACAGGCACTCTTTATTTATTATGAATTTTATCACATCAAATATTTGAATAAAGTGTACTCCTTGTTCTCCCAGCATTTTGACAAGGAGTTGGCATTTCTTGAGATCCTTGATATTAAATGGCACGGCTATCTTTAAAATAGCCCCCAAACAGATAGAAGCCAGAGGTGTGCGTGCTAAAATTAGTGGTATCCGTAGAACAGTAGACAGTGAGAGTTGAGCAGGCTTGCCAAGGTATTGATGTATGTGAAATCTGTTTCTAAAGCTTTCTTTGACCGGTTCAGTGGGAAGCTGCTTGTATCACAAAAGCCTTCCTGAGGATCTTTGAGAGGGTGGGCAATACCTAACCTCAGACAGTCTTGGCAAAGAGAAATTGAGAATGTTAATGTAGCGCAGCTGATGCCCTGAAAGAAGCCCTGGCCTTCTATTCCCCCAGCCTCCAGTGATGTGATGAAGAAGTCGGCGATAAGGTCTCAGCAGCCTTCTGCCCTTTCAGCACTCAAGGAAACGTTTTTTCTCTCCTATGAGTAATTGAGTTATGAGTTGCACAGGACAGCTGACCGTTCCGTTTACAGAGCAGATAGCCAAGTACAGAGCTCAGATCAGGGAATGAGGAAGAAGGATGTTCCTCTGCATGCGGCAGCCCTGTCAGTATGGACTCCTGTGGTCCTAGTGGATCAGAGACTGAGAGGCCGTGTTTTTATCTAAGCATCCTGTTTCAGAATCTTGCTTTTATAGTCTCTTGCTTTAGTTCAGGGGATGCTGAGAACCACGCTATATAGGACTGAGAATTCAGAGCGGTCTCAGGTCCTGTGTCCTCCTCCTTCACTCCGCATTTGCAGGTTGCTGTAACTAGCACTGAATCCCATTGGTGTGCCCGTGCATTTGGAGGCATCGCTGTCCATGGCTTGTCAGTGTAGCTACCACAGTAAGATTTGGTTAGGCAGAACCAGAAGGGGGAGGAAGGAACTCCCACGCAAACAGGCCGCTTTTGTTCAGGTATTCAGGTGACTGTATGGAGCATCACCTGAACTGAGCCATATGGTCTGCCTGAATCCTCAGAACATCACGGTTTCCCCGACAGTTAATGCTTTCGACTTCACAGTTACTGCAACGTAGGTTGAGTTTGTCAAGGAAGCTATGGAAAGCTCAAATCTTGCTGCATTTTCACCTCCTCTAAGAGCAGCCTGTAGTCCAACCGGGTCCTTGCTCGATGTGCTGGACTACAATACCCAGCATCTTTCCTCATGGCTTACTGGGGAATGTTGGGAGTTGCATCTTGAAGACACCAGCTTGGGGAAGGCTGCCCAGCAGCTCTGTCCATACTAAAACAGTGGGTGAATAGTGATACCTGTGCTGTTCTTGTGGTCTGTGGAGCGTCTTTTTAAAAAGCTGTCAATATGGGTTGGGGGAAAAATTAGGCAACTGTTCAGGGATGGCAGAAGTGTTAAAATATACGCCATCAGACTAATGAGGGCCTGGATCACCTCCCTTGGGGGGCCTTTGCTCCCCCCAAGAAAGTACAGGCTACACAGAAGTAGGTGATGTGAAAAGAGTCCTGGTCAAGCTGACGGTGGCATCGAGCCTTCCTTTGGTGTTTCTTTTGGTTCGTTACATTTTATTAAAATGCTTTCAGTTAATGACATAGAAAAACTAACGGGGCTTGCTGCTTTCTGCAGCATAGTTCAGCTCCTGACGATCCCCTTGCCACCTGCATGGCGTTATGGCACACTGAGGATGTGCCTGTAAACCCACTCGGGTTTTGAGGTCACAGGTGTCCGTTTTTGAAGCCTGAAAGGTTTGTAGAAAGATTTATGAAGACAGATGCTGTTGAATAGGAGAATGCAAAATACCTGCATTTGCTTTTGTGTTCTGACTTTCTCTTTCTCTTTCTCTTTCCATGTCTGTTGTAGTTCCTTCAGAATCAGGTAATTGATTTGGCAGTCTTATATTTCTGCACCTTGCCTTAGCATTATATTCTTTTAAAAGATTGCTATATGTAATAGATGTATTTATAGCTTTGCTCACAGCTTTCTGGCACTAGAAATCGTGCCTGCTGCAAATAGGTGAATCATTCCTAGAATACTAGTAAGCTGCTGCCTTGGGAGACGAACTGGCTCTTGTACTCACTTCGGCTGCAGTTCTTGCCCTGCCTCCCGTTGCCTTGCAATAGCCAAGCAACTCAGGTTTGCTTTTTATGCCCCAGAAAGTGGGCACGAAGAATTCTGTATGTAACTTGAGCTTCCTTTCCCAGCACTTCCAGGTCTTAGCCAGGGGTGGGGGTCCCTAAAATATAGGTGAGTGAATCCAGACTTGTAAAATCTGCTTAATTATTTTTTCTTAATGGTACCGAGGTCCACCAGCCAGGACCGAGCGTGTAACGGCAGCAGAACCAGGTGCAAACTGGTGGTTTGCGGGGGCAAAGCCATTCACTTGCTGTCTCAAGGGGTCATAAGCTGGGATTTTTTTATCGTGCTGTTTGCCACTGCTGAACAGCAGGAGTCATGAGGCCTTTCCTTGCAGCCGCTCAGAGACCAGTAGCTCTCGAGTCTGCCTTCTGCCCGCCCTCGTCCTCTCGTGCAAGCCTCCTGCACGGTCGATGCTTCAGAGCTGCTTGGCATGCAGGTCACTTTGGAGCATGCGCGCCACGTTCGGAAGCCACGGCGGTGGCGTTTCATAATAAACAAAAGGCCTTTCTTGAAATGGCTCCGCTGTCACAAATTAACTGTCCCATCAGATCCAGATGTAGGAAGTCATTTTAGTATGCAGTATAATATATTGCCTCTTCCTCTACGGAAGCCTAAGGGTATTGCATCGAGAACTTTTTGACCGTGATAATGCAGCTTGATGCTTAAAAAAGGGAAATAACCAGATTGCTTATGAGTATCCCTTGATATCTGTGCTGCCATCCGGAGGTACATGTCCCCATATTTCTGTTGCAAGCTTAGGTATGTCGATTCTGCACACAGCGAGGCCCTGCATTCATCCTGTGTCTCCCATGCGGCAGTTGCAGAGAGCTGTAGTTTGTGGTCCTGTTTCCATTTATAAGAAATAAGTTTCATGGATCTTGGCTTGCTTTGAGGTTGAAAGGTGCTTAATTGGCAGGGTCTTTCCTCCACCGTTGTTTCTGCTAAAGCAGAGAGTACTCCTGTGCTTCTGACCAGCTCTGAACTGAAGTAAATGTTAACTCAGGAGATGAGCTGCACACCATCACTATTTAATGTATTTTAGCATTGTTTTTCCATCGCAGATGCTTTTACGGATCCTGCGATCAGTGCTAAGGTTAATGGTGAGCACAAAGAAAAGGACCTGGAGCCATGGGATGGTGGAGAAGGCAGCACTGCAGACGATCTCGAAGCTTTAGAAACGGATGTGGTAAGCCCATCACACACAGTTTGGGGCACATGGTCTGAAGCACAGATGTCTGAGAAACGTGGTAATACGCAGGCCCTTAGATTCACTGTCGCGCAAAGCACATGTGCTCTGGAGATGTCGCTCTCCCTGCACATGTACGCAGACTTGGTGTGCATGTGCCCTGCAGCCGGTGACTGGAGAGCACCGTGTGGCCTTTGAAGGGAAACTGCTTAGAAACAGGGCATAGAGTTCCTGCAGAACAGCAGAAACTTGATTTTGTCAAACCTCCTCCTCCTCAAAGTGAACAGTTTCCTTTTAAATGGTTTGTTTGTTTGTTCCTTACTCCTGTTATTGCATGACATTTATATCCTATACTTATATACCACTCCGTGTAATAACCTCTCTAAGAGCCTTACATTATACATTAAAATTAGATTTACATTGTACTTTAGACAACTGCAGTGGTGATAAAAGCAGTGCAGGGATCAGTAAGATACAGCAGCATGTGCTTAATTGCCATTTATTGCCATAAGTCAGAGAAAGTATGCAAGATCAAATGCATTTTCAGAAGAGCTTCGAAACATACCACATTTTCTGCCTACCAAACTGCATGAAGGAAGGGTTTTCCCAAAAATCCTGGAAAAACTCCCCTACTTGTATATCAGGTCCTTCTTTCACTGCCATAGGCTCCTGGGCAGCAGTGCATTTGGCATCGTTTCAGTCCCCGCTTTAGGCTTGCCCATCATTGCCATCAGGCTGCCGAATACTCGGTTTGGGAATTCCACAGATTGTACTGTTTCTTCGTCGCGATCTCTGTGCATCACACATCTGGGCGCTGCACCTACGCAGTGCCTATTTTCGGGAAGATTCTCTCAGCTATAACAGTTTTTGCCGCTCAAAGCAGCGAATAAAGGAAAATTAAGGCAAAAGTTTTAATAAAAACATGGTATAAAAACAAATTAAAAACACAGTTAAAGCCATCTATATGCAATTTTCTGGTACATGTTATGTTCCTGTGTAGCAACACCTCTTTATGCAGAGAGTGCCACCACCAATCAAAGTAAGGCAGAAGGTGGGTGTATTTCAAGGAGTGAATCGTCATCTTGTCATAGGCCCGTTTCTCACATAGCTCATGGTTTGTTTTCTCAGTTCCCGGATTGTTTTTTTCCCCCCTCCTTTTTCAACAGTCCCCTCCCTGTATGCCAAATTTTCCCTCCCTCTGCAATACAATCCTTGAACAACCCACAGTTCCAGACTTTCACATAAAAACAACTCATGGTTTAAACAGCCTAAGAACATGGGCTCTCTCCATTGGATGTTTATGTTTGACAGTCCGGCATTTAACTCGCAGTTTCAGGTTCACATGTAATGACAAACCACAGTTGAACAACCATAGTTCATTCAGTCGTGGTGGGTCATTACATGTGAAGCGGGTCAAATGTATTTAAGCAGCAAATATGGATGACAATGCGGCCTGGTATTTCGAAGCACTCCATGTTTTGTGCCTTCTGTCTAGAAACCGGAAGGGTGATTTCTTCAGACAGTATTTAAACTTGAGAAAATCTTTTTCTTCCACGCCATTTTAAATCCTAAGCCCCTTTTTTTTCCTTTCTAGTCCAATGGATGGGATCCAAATGACATGTTTCGATATAATGAAGAAAACTACGGTGTCGTGTCCACTTATGACAGTAGTTTATCTTCCTATACGTAAGTTGCTATATGTACAGTAATTTTTAAACTGGTTACTCTCAGTGATTTTAGTATTAATTACTCTAGTACTTCAACCATGTTTACTGGAAGTGGGTAGAAAGACAGAAAGTATGAGTTATATGCTCGCTCGTTCTCTCCCCCCCCCCCCCAAATGTTTGGGCATGGTGAATTCTACTTTTTGGATATAGAATTATATGCCCACATACCCTCGATGCAATAAATCAAAATGAAAAAGTCTTGGACAGGCAGGAAGAAGGTTTGTGAAGCAAAGTTGATTCTCCTGTCAGAATCCTTGCTAAAAGATCCTGTTTTCTGTCATTGGCATCTCACAAATTAGCTTGCTTCGTAACATGAAATGCATTGTGTTCTGTGCAGTGTATACTCTGTATACCAGAATGTTTTAGCCAGTTTTGCCCCTGGCAGCAATTCGGCAGGTGCAGGAGACAGATTAAACCAGGCAGTATGAATTAGCTCTTCCTCCGTGGCCTGTCCTTAAAAAACAACACTGTCAACGATGCAGGAGGCCATGAAGCATTTTTGCATACAAGACATGAGACAGGGTTTCTTGGAGACCATGAGCTGGAAACGTGCAAACAGACCCAACCGAACCAACACAGCATCCCTGCTTCGGTCCCCCGACGCAGAGGACTGCTTCCTTTAAGAATACTTTTCCTAAAGGAATCCAGACTTAAGAGTCAGTGTGGTTCACCCCCTCCCCCTTTTCCTTTTCCTTTTAGGGTACCCCTAGAAAGAGATAACTCCGAAGAATTTTTAAAACGGGAAGCCAGAGCAACCCAGTTAGCAGAAGAAATCGAGTCAAGTGCTCAGTACAAAGCTCGAGCAGCTTTAGAAAATGACGACCGGTCAGAAGAAGAAAAGTACACCGCTGTTCAGAGGAGTGTGAGCGAGCGAGAGGGCCACGGTATGGCACCCAGGTATGTGAGCGAGGGGGGACGAAAAAGCTCTGGGGCTGTTGCCTGCTGCAGAGCTAGTTGGTGCTTGAGATCCAGTTCCTGCACGGTCGCTTCTTGCAGTTTCCATACGGTTTGAGGGAATCCGGCGGGTTTTGTTCGTTTGTTGGTTTGTTTTAGTTGGAAAAACTTTTCCTTTGGCCTTTGTGAACGTCCCTTGGCCCCGTGGTTCAAGGATTCGTCGTCTTCTCCGTAAGGGTTCAGTGGGCAGGCCTCCTGCGACATCCTGCTGGTTCTCCACTCTGCTGTGTTTGAAATTACTGGAGTGCCTCCATGCAGCGCATTTGATCTGCTCAGTGCTTTCCACGACCCCCAGCTGGCTGACCATTGCCACGCTGGCTCGGGTGATGAGCGCTGTAGTCCATCACCTCTGGAGAGCCCCAGCCGGGCAGTCTGTCCGTTTGCTCACACTGCCTGTATTTCCTGGATGTGGGTTCGTGCGAGTGCGTACGAGGGTTCGATGCCACGGTGCTGAGAAAGACGCAGCCAGAATGCTGGGCTTCTTCAAAAGGCCCGTATGTTCCCCTGAAAAGTCCTTTTGGCGCTGCTATTAGATATTGTAATGCCCTACAGTGTTAGAGCCCTTGCAGTGTGATTTTTGCTGCTTTTGCTCTGGAATCGTAGCTTCCCTCCCGATGCAGAGCGGTAGGTCAAGGTAAACTGTTTGCCTTGCGTTTTTCTGAACACTGACATCTGGCTTTCGAAGAGGTGCAGCCCTCATTCCAGAATGCTTCACTTTTCCTGTCCCTTTTTCAACTACCTTTAAAATGAGGGAAGGTTGACTTCAGCCTTGGGCTTAATTCGTCTTGTGTCTCTTCTTCTTGCCCCCCACCCACCCCTCTCCTGCCCTTCAGAGAGAACAAGTACATTCCACCGGGACAGAGGAATAGAGAAGTCACTTCCTGGGGAAGCGGAAGGCAGAATTCACCAAGGATGGGCCAGTCCAGTTCGGGCCCACCACTTTCGAGATCCGCATCGCACTCATCAGACTACAATTCTAATTCAGGACCAGACCAAAGAGTCGTTAACGGAGGCAAGTATCTGTCATAACCTAAATAAGCAAGCCTTTGTTGGGAGAGTGTGTTCTCGCCAGGTCCCTGCGAGCGGGAGGAGGTCTTTGAAATGCTTTTTCCTCATGCATCCCAGCAACGAACACAAATAATCTAAAATGGGAGGGGCTGAGTTGTGCCTGTTCTGATTTTTAGAACGTAAAAACTGCTCCCCAGCAAAGAGTGAGCTCTCTTGTGAACCCAGCAAGTGGCTGCCCGTTGCCCTGGAAGGCGATTTACTAGCCACCTCCAGCGCTGCGGTCCCAGCGAAGTCCGTGGAGGCAGCCAGCAGGCTCTTCTGCCTAGTCTTTGCAGCATGTTGACGTGCAGGTGGACCAGAAGGACGAGAAAGCGGCCCCGCAGCCGCTGTCTGATCTGACCCCTTTCGAACAGTCCACATCATAGCAACCCTCTTTATCTGACACCGCCCGCAATGTTTTCTGCAGTGCAGGCGGCCTTGGGATTATGCTGGGACCCAGCTGGACTGAGCAGCTCAGTTTGTAGCAGCAGCAGCAGCTTCAGCAGCCAGTTCAAACTGTACAGTGCATTTTTACTGTGTTCTCAGCTGCCCTGGGGGGCTATTTGGAGCCAGGTAGCAGTTAAACAGTTTTCAGATAAACAAACCAGCCAGCCAGCCAGCCAACCAAGCCTGCAGGTGTGGGGCTGGGGAGGAGGAGGCCTGGGCGGTTCAGTGATTTAAGGTAAGTGGCAGGGGCAGCACGCGTGAGCTTTAGCCGGCCGAAAATAAAAGCTCGCTGCGTGTGTGCCTGCGAAATGAGAGGCCTGCCGCTCAGCAAGCGCTGCCCTTGCAGGCAGAGGTGCCTGAGCCGGACGAGTGCAGAGGAGCGGAGCGTGTGCTCGACTGGGCCACCCCCTCGGCCTTCTGTCCTTTCGGTTGCTCCCCGCACGCGGTGGGAGGTCGGAAGGCCTTTGCTTTCAGAGGGAAGCTGGTTTGGGTTTGGAAGCCGTGCCCTCTGGAGGACCTACCTCTGCGGCCCAGGGGCAGCAGGGCTACGCTGAGGGTTGGGGCTCAGTTTCCTGTTCCGCCAAATTTCTGGATGACCCCATTATCGCAAGGGCACAATAGAAGCAATGTCAGAATCTGGACACGGCTCCCTTTGTAGGGGGGTCGCTGTCATTCTCGCTGCCCCCGCCTGCGGAAGGGGCCGATCCGTCCGTCGCGTGGGCCCTGCTGCCTCACCAAGTCTGGTGGAGGCTTGTGCCCTCGTGCCCAGAGGGCGGCCGTGCCAAGCGATCTGCCCGATGCTGCGGGTCCCCTGCGTGGGGCGTTTCGGTGTGGACGGGCTCGCCCTGGCCCGGGAAGGGCTGGGCACACGCCTCGGCCTTCCTGGCCGCTCAGGCATCATGCGCGGCTCTCTGTGGCGAGGCACGGGGGCACAGACCGTGGGACTGATCGCCCCTCGTTGTCTCTTCCATTGTAGTGTTTATAGACGCTGCATTTAACCCACTGGGGAAAGCTCCAGTTGCGGACTGCCATCTTCTTCGTAAACTGCTCAGGCCTAAAATGAGGGTGGAATAGCTTTCTAGAATGTTCTCTTGTTGTTTCTATGACCCCTGCCGAGATCCTCAATGGGTTAAAAAAAAAAGTATGAGAAATCATTTTTGTCATTTTTACTTCCCCCCCTGTTTTTCCCCCATGATTTTTTCTTTAGTTTTTATGCTTTCCTTCATATCATTTGTTCTGTCAGGTGTTCCCTGGCCATCGCCTTGCCCATCTCCTTCCTCTCGCCCACCTTCTCGCTACCCGTCAGGTCCCAACTCTCTTCCACCTCGGGCAGCCACCCCTACAAGGCCGCCCTCCAGGCCCCCCTCGCGGCCCTCCAGGCCCCCGTCTCACCCCTCTGCTCCTGGCTCTCCAGCTCCCGTCTCTGCTATGCCTAAACGCATGCCTTCGGAAGGTACAAAACCCCAGTTGTGTTTGTTCATGAGTCTTTGTTTGTCTTTTGTGTTTCCCTCCCTCCCTCTTGTAAGTTATAGTTAACAGTTGTTCTCCTCATCACTGAACCTATAATTTGTGCACTTTAAAATGTTGTTGATTTTGATTTTATTATCTGGCTATTTCTGTAAACTTTTTTTCTGTTTGTTTTTAAGGGAAAACTTCACAAAAACCAAATCCTAACAGTATGTCCTTTTCTAAGGGTGTGAGGATGATGATGATGATGATGATATTATTATGATTATTATTACATTAAGTTTATATTCCAACTTTTTTCCTCTTGTGGGGAATGGAGGGTGACTTAGATAGTTCCATTTTATCTTCACAACGACCTGTGAGGTAGGTTAGGCTGAGAGTGAGTGACTGGCCCAAAGTCATCCAGTGAGTGCCAGTGGACAGTTGGAGACCAGAACGTGGATCCCCCAGACCCCGTGTGCTCCCCACCGCACTGCCTCTCCCAGCACCGCTTTGGTGCCTTGCAAAGGCATGGAAAAGTAGCGATTGTAGTAGCTTGATTGTGGCTGCAGGCTCTCCTGCCGCTCCCTTCCCCATGTCGGAAATAACCAGGGTTAACGGATGCACTGGCACTGGTGCTAATCATGCTCCGTGGTAACCAGTCTTTATTTTCAACCAGGCTTTGAAACTGGCTTTAGATCCCAGGTTGAAGCGTGCCCTGATGAGCAGCGTGGTTAACATCCTGACTGCAAACTGCTCTGGGGAAACTTAGTCTTGAAAAGCACCATGGGAATCCTTCAGATGAAATTCGAGACTGGTCCCAGTGCTGCCTTCAGCCATTATTCTGGCCATGGCTGGGTGGGGGGGGATTGTGTGGCAGGTTGGACGGTGCAGGTGGCAGGTGGGCCTGTCATTTGAAGCCCACTCCTGATCCCATCAGCCTTGGGAGCTGGGAGCGCTTGCACGTGCAGTGGCTGTGGCAGAGGGTTTTGCCCAAGGTAGCACTTTCTGCCCTTATTATAGTGCGTAGATGGTTTAAGAAAGCAAGTCCAATTCAAATTACACTCTGCAGAATCCTCCTGATAGACAATTGTATTGTCAGAAACTGGTGGGAATGGGAAGGGGCTGTGTGTGTGAGTTTTGTTTGAGTTCAGTGTGGTTTTTAGGAGTCAGTTGAGTTGAAGAATGTTGATTTCATGGCGGAAAGGGGACATGTGCTGCGCTTTGTCAGATCCAGCTAATTTGCGTGTTTTAATTGCATGCAGTTTACCGATGAACCTAATGACTATCAAACCATTTATGGATCAGTGTAAGTTCTGGGGCAATTCTTAAAACGTGTCCGAAAGGCAGGGACTTAGAAATGGTTGGAGCCGAAAACAGTAAACGTAAGCTTCTGTCTTGATGCCTCAATGTGCAGGTTTTGCCATTCCGCTTTATTTATTACATTTTAACCTGCCTAATACCACAAGATCTCCAACTTCTCTGCCACTAAAAAGTCTAGAAAAGCCACCTCGAAACTGCTGCCCGCCAAAGTTGTTGGACTCTAATTCTCATAGTCTTCGGCTTGTGAAGACATGGCAAGGGAGGATCAACGTCGTAGACAAGCCTCCGCGAAGGGCAGCAGCTTGGAGAAAGCCGAGAGACTGGCCCAAAACAGTTAGCGTTGGGTGTTGTGGAGCCAATGGGCCACAGCAGTTGAGGCAGAACCCACGTGGATCCGCTCAGCTGTTCTTGTAGCACGGTGCACATCCCTCCTTTTGCTTTCATGTGGCACCTGCATACAGAAGCCCCTTGTGGTGGGTTGTTCCTCACTCTGGAATCGTGTGGAGTTTCTTTTTGCGCTTTCGTCAGGAGCTGTGGAACTGTGTAGGGTGTGTGTGCATTTGTATCTGAAGGCCTTATGTGACGACAGACCTAATCTGCACCTGTGTTGCTGAAATGTGATGGAGAAAAGGGGAGTTGTGTGGGGTGTTCACAGTTTAGGGTGTATGTGTGTTGCTTTTTCCAGGACCTCCGCGGATGTCTCCCAAGGCGCAGCGTCACCCTCGAGGCCACCGAGTTTCTGGAGGAAGGGGTATGATTTCGAGCAGCTTAGAATGTGGTTCTCACAGTGTGCCTGGGGAAGCCGCCATGCCTTCGCCGGTCCGAGGCAGCCCTTCAGGTGGGACATGGTCATCCGTGGTCACGGGGAGTAAGTAAAGCTCAGCTTTCCACAGAAAGTTACCTTTGGGGGATGCGCTGTTGATACGATCCCGTGTTCCTGGGCCATAGAGCGGAAGGCTTTGCACTTCCTGCATCCTGAGGGATAAATCAGTTTTGGAGAAGTTCATGGGAAGACCACCCAGGACCAAAGGCAAAGGGAGTCTGGCCAAGATACTGGCATAGCTCAGCTTCAGACGAGTCTCTTAGCCTTAGCCAAGCCTTAGCCTGAGAAACCTCAAGAAAGGTTTCTTCTTGGAAAGATTCATCCATCCATGCGCACACACAGAGTACCCCAAACGGAGGCAGCACCTGGCACTTGGCTGCTCTGTGTGCTGAAGAGCTGGCCTTCCTCTGGAAAGCTGGGGCTCCGGTTTTCTCTCGGGGAAGGCTGGTGGGCAGCACGGCTGCCTTCATGGATCCCCTGTTTCAGTCTGTAGGTCCATCCTCAGTTTCACTGCAGTCAGGCACGTACGCTTGGTTTCTCAGTGGAGGAATTTTTAGTACTCTGTCTTGGAACTTGAGTTACAAGAAACACTTGCTGCTTGGTGGGGGGTGGGGGGGGGAGCTGCATCACAAAAATCTGGGGAATTTCCGAGGAAGGGAAAAGGGCTTTTGCCAGCCATTTTATAAGTTCAGTGCAGGCGCAGTATTATATTTCACTCTTACTGCTGCCGAGCAGCTGTGGAGCATTGCAGTAGAGTATCTTTTCATCTGTTCCTAGTTACCCGGTCGTCTCCGAAAGCACACAGACCCCGGTCTCCGAGGCAGAGCAGCACTGGAGGTGTGCCTTCTGGGCCAGCGCTGGCCTCCCCTCAAGCTGGCGCCACTCCAGCCGAGTCTGCAGCCGTGCCTGTCCCGGCGGCCTCTCCTGCCCCTGCCAGTCCTGCCTCCAACAGAGCAGGCACCCCGTCTGCCGAAGGTAAAAAAGCCCGTGGCGGTTTCTTCGCTCGCCCCATCCTGAGCTTGAGTGCAAGTATGGAGACGCGGCAGCGACCTAAAAATCTGAAGCCCTTTCGCTTAAGAACCACTGCCTCCCGCATGCCAATTTTTTATGCGTTCGGATCGCTCGGCATATATGCTCCTTTTTCTCTTCGTATGTGGCAAACTTTGCACGGGGAGAAAGCGATGGCTGTGCAGGCGTTTCAGTTGTTTTCTGAATGGCTGTCTAGAAAATAAATATATACAGAATGTTAATAAGCAGGAAAGAGTTGGGGTTTGTTTTGGTTTCTTTTTGAATAAGACCCTCTGATCTCATTTCAGTTTGCCTGATCAGGACATTAATAAAGTACAGCAGCAATGTTTTTAAAAATCATTTGGTTTGCCCTTGTATATGAAGAAACAATATGATCTGCAGAGCCCTGTTACAAAATGTCTAGAATTTAAAGTCTCTTTGAAAGTTCTGAAGGTTGCCCTTTTTCCCCTTAAGAAATAGGAAAGAGGATAATATCTCTTGTAAGGCAGAAGTGATGGTTTAAGATTTTTTGTAGGCTTTCGGGCAGCCTAGAAAGTTTCAAAATCCCTCTCTTCTCTATCCTTAACCTTTCTACTTGTTGTCATCTAGAATTATTAGATTGCTATGCAGACAAAACCTCCCAGCAAGCCGTTTTATATCTACAGCTAAGATTGTATTTGCTTCCCTTTCTAGCTAAAGATTCAAGGTTTCAGGACCAGAGGCAGAGTTCTTCTCCTGCTGGAGCCAAGGAGCATCTGAAGCCAAGTGAAATGTCTCCCAGTTTTAGCAAACCTGAATGCAAAGGTAAGATCCTCTAAAGGGCTGCTCAGATTACAAATAGTTTACTCCGTGGCAGTCCTTTTGACTTAAAGTAAGATTTATCTGTGGGAAGCTGAGAGTAAATGACCTTTAGAGGTAGTAGAGTTAAGTTTGTGATGTAGAGAGAGAATCTTTGGTAAGAGCAGTTGCAGTGTGAAGAGGGTGAATTGTTCTTTCCAGTGTTCACAGGAATCAACTCCTGGAACGCATTTGTGCAGAGGGTGCTCAACACTTTGATTTGCTGCACTGATTTGGACTTTGAAGGCTGTCTTGAAGTTCCGTGTTGTGATATGTAGCTCAGGGCCTGAGGCCAGTAGTATTACCTTCTCTTGCTTAGCAGCTTATCAGTATATTTGCTCTCAGTGAAACGTATACAACTGCAGCTGTGAACTCATCCTGCAGAGTTCCTTACTGAGTTCCTTCCTTTTCCGCCATGAAAGATAACATGCCTCCTACGCTTCCTCTTTACTTCATTCCCGTCTGCAAACTTCTGCTTTGTAGGCAAGAAAAGTGTGAGCAGCTACATCAAACTGTCCTGGGTTAGTGAGAGAATCCCCCTACCAGTATTCAGGTTGTTGAAGGAAAGTCTTCCTGCCCTATTTACCAGGGTGCCGCCTGGGCAAAGGGCGTTGGTGATGATTCGCCATATACCCCTTCCCTCCGAAATTGGCTCCACGTCATCTGTCGATTTTGATGCCATTTGTCTTGTCTGATAGGTGTTTCTCCTGCTGTTCTAGAACACAGAAAACAGATTGATGATTTGAAGAAGTTCAAAAATGACTTTAGGGTAAGTTCCTTGGCCAGTTCATTACTAAGGGTAGCTGTCACCAGCGTTTCCTTCCCTCCCCCCCCCCTCCAATTTTATGGGGGACTTGATTGCGTTCCTGGCTGGCAGTGTGCTTGATCCAGCTAAATGCAAGCATGTCCATGCCCGCTGTCTCACCGGAGAGGTGGGCATGTGCCTCAGGGTCCCTTCTTAAAAGCAGTGTGCATTTTAGTGTTGTTGGCGATTTTTCCGAAGTACTTCCATACAGCTGTAAAGCAGTGTTCCCCACTCGACCCTCAGGGTTCCCCCTGACCCAGGCTCAAGTGTGGGTTGGCAGGTTATGTGAACCCGGTTGCTGAAAGTAACTTTCTGAGAGGACCCAACCGACGAGTATTTTTACTGTAGCGTTAGTTTGCTTGCGTATGCCTGTATCTGAGGCCCCCTTACATGCCTGGGTCTAGTTGGGTCTTCTGTGAGGGACCCGTTGCATCTTCGGGCCGTTCCTCACACAACTGGGCCGCCAGCTCTGCTTTGCCACCTGGTGTGCCTTCCACAAAGAGCTGCAACTAGTTCTCGCTTTCTGAAAACCGCGTGTGTGTGTGTTTGTGTGTGTGTGCAGCATTTCCAGACTTCCAGTCAGCCCCGTACACCCATCCATAGAAGCTCCTGCAAGGCGTGTTCACGGTCACGCATACCCAAAAAGGAAGACGCCCCAAATTCATGTTCCAGTGCCTTCAGGTGTTGCCCTGTCTTTAAAATAGCCCTATATTTCATGCCTTGTGTGTGGCAATACATCTTATACGATTCTTATTTTTAAAAATATTGCAAGATGCAATCCCTGCAGAAGGGTTTTAAAATGCTGATTGTACAACAGGGTGAGTAATGCGTAGCTTCCACTTCCTGCTTGTGTGCCACTCTGTCAAAATTGGCAGAAAATTCTCCCCCCACCCCCACACACTCACACCAAAAAAGCTTTTAATCCTATGGAGTGCTAAAAGGTTCAAATTTAGCTTGTCCCTGAGGCTAAATCTTATCCCTTTAGCATTCCACAGCCACTATGGAATTCAAAAAAAAAAAATCAAATTATTTTGAGAACAAATGAAATTTAATCTTTTTAGTGCTCCAGAGCAGCTCACTGTGGAATTGTGCCGCAAAGCTGCTTGCTTGTCGAGAGTGGCACAGACTGTGGTTTCAGGGGAAGGGGGAACGACTCGCCCGTTGTAGGTTGCCTTCTCTCTACCTGCCACGGCGTATTCGGTTAAACTGGGCATCTTTTATTTCCTGCCTCCCTGCTCCACAGTTACAGCCAAGTTCCACCCCAGAAACAGTAGAACAGCTGCTAAGCAAAAACAGAGATAGTGAAAAACCCAGAGATGTGCCGAAGGAGAAGCCTGACCCCGGCTCTAAAGACTCCGCCGTTGAAGCCAGCAGCAGCGCCACTCCAGCCCGCGGCAGCAGCAAGCCCGGCAGCCCCAGCGTTTCTCCGAGCAGTGTCAGCGCTGAGCAGAAGCGAGGGCCTGAGGTGACCTCCCAGGGTGTGCAGACCTCTGGCCCCGGAGCGAAGCCGGAGAAGGAGGAGGAGGAGGAGAAAAAGGACACCACCGAGTGAGTCGGCCGGGGTGCCCAGCGCCTGCTCTGATTCAGGGGCACCTCGTGGAGGGGGCCGTGCCGGAAGGAGCCAGCGGCAGCTTGCACCACCGGCCTTCCTCCTGGCTTCTGCACACCGTGCTGTCGGTGGGAGGGCAGAATAGGGAGGAGATGACCGTCTTGGCTTTAGAGATGACGTTATTTCTCCTTGCCCGTCTTTCGCCTTCTGCTTCTCGAGCTGGAAGACAGGCTGGGGTTGTGTTTTGGGAAAGACGGTTCTCGCTAATGAAACAGAGCACTGCCAAAAACCGGAGAAGCAAGCAGTGTCTGTAGATTCGTTGAGCTTCCACTGGGGGGAGCGGCCCTCTGCTCTGCACATGCTTCCATGGAGGAAACGGGGTTTCTGAGCCTCTCGCGGTTCTGGTGTGGAGGTTGTGAGCCCTTTAAAGGGCCTTCCCTACGATTCCTCTTCCCTTTATTTTATGTACTAGAGCTGCAGACTGTCTTTCTGCTCAAGGTGGCTCCCTGCTCAAGATAATGGCCTGCCGTTCAGTGCCTTAGTGCTTGATAGCCATGGCCCAAAAGAGTACAGGAAGGGAAGCAGGAAATGAGCAGAGCCCGGGCAGCGTGGCCACGCCGTGAGGGAATTCCGGGACAAGGAGAGAGAAGCGGGCATGTGACTCCAGCTGAAACCGCGGAGGTTGAGGGTTCTTGGTTTTCAGTTCCACCTGAGAAAAAGAAACCTTCAGAGTGGAAAATCGGGCGGTGTGTCCTAAAGCGACCTGCCAGGCATCTTTCTTGTGCTTGTTTTCCCTTTAGACAAGTCAGGAAATCGACGCTGAACCCCAATGCAAAGGAGTTCAACCCTCGGTCGTTTGCTCAGGTGAGTGCAGGAATTGTGCCCACCAGCAGCCTCTTGGCATTTCTGCCCCACCTGGTTCCTGCTTGGAAGGCGCCCGGCGGGGCTTCCGTGGCTCCGTTCTGTCCTCCCAACAAGCCCATGTGGTGGGTTCGGCCGAGCGTGAGGGGCTGGCCCAAAGTCGCCCAGTGCGCTTCGTGGCCAAGGGCAGACTAGCGCCCGAGTCTCCCGGGCCCCGAGTCTGACACGCGCCGTCATACCGCGCTGGCTTTCCCTCAGGAAACACCCTCACCCTTCGCTCATCCAAAACCGCGCTTCCCACTGGATGGAGGCGTGTGGGGCCCCCCTTGGACTTAGCAACCCTAACGAGAGCTCCCTGGGGAAACTCCACGAGTCTCTTTGGGGCACGAGCACTGGATGCCTGCCTGGAGCTCAGCTGCCCGCCTCCCACCGTTCCTTCCGCAGCCCAAGCCTTCGACGACGCCAACGTCGCCCCGTCCGCAAGCCCAGCCCAGCCCTTCCATGGTGGGCCATCCGCAGCCGGCTCCGGTGTACACCCAGCCCGTTTGTTTCGCGCCAAATATGATGTACCCTGTTCCTGTGAGCCCCGGCGTCCAGGTAGAGAAGCGCGTCCGCGTGGCGGGCGGGCAGGCCGGCCGGCCAGGGCAGCCCTCCTGCCGCAGGGGTGGGCGTGGGCGCGGGCGAGGGCGAGGGCTCTGCCGGCGTGCAGGGAAGGCTGGTGCGCATCAGTGGGGCACGTTCCATGGCGGCCTCACCTGCTGGAAGGGCAGGGGAGGAACCCTTTGGGGTCCCTATAGGATAGGCTGGCCAGGGTGGACGAGGAAGCCCCTTCCCCTGCAGATCCTCCGTGCCACCTGCTCAGTCCCCAGTTTGGCGCTCACAGAGAGGGCCCGCTGCTGACCGGCTGTGCGTGCAGACTGCCCCAGCCTCTCCAGGTAGGGCTGTGGAAGGCCCCTGCCCGGAACCCCAGAGGGCCCGGCGCACGTTGGCAGGGCCGGGCGTCGTGGCCAGAGGCAAGTCTGGCTGAGCCTACGGCCTGGGACCTTCGGTGTCCCCAAGACGCGCTACCCCCACCTCCTGGCCTGAGACATCAGCTGCAGTGCTGCCTTAGTTCTTGCGGGCTTGACTGCCTCTGCTGGTTGTGGGCCCCTTGGAAGCTCCGCAGGGAGCCGCCCAGTACCTCAGGCCTGCCACGCCATGTCAGCAGGGCCGTGTGACTCGGGGCTCTGGCGTGCCGTTCTCATGTCCCCGTCACGCACCAGGAAGAAACGTGTCGAACTCTTCATGGGTGGGCCAGCTGCCTGCTTAGTCAGAACAGCTCAACCGCCCGTCTAATCAAGGGGAGCGCGATTAGATCCCTTTTTGCCGTGTGACGTTTGTCTGAAATGTTTTTTATTGCAATGCTGCAGTGGCTAAAGTATCCAACAGGAACATACTTTTCCAGCGTGCGGACTGCTCAAATGCATCCTGGCTCATGCGCGCGCGCATATCTTTCCTTTGGCTTCTGTTTCACGGGCTGCTTGCTTAAACCATGCCTTTCGACCAGTGGACTCAGAGGGCAGTGCCCAGAGAGCCTTTCCTTGGTCCTGAGCAGGATGCTGCTGCTGCTGCTGCTCCTGCAGCTGCCCTGGCATTGCAGAAATGCCCGGCAGCAGCGCCAGCTTGTGCCTTCAGTCAGTGCGCGCTGCAGCCCTGCGCACACGGCTCCGTGTCGAGTACGGTGCTTATTTTTAGGCACTTTCCTAATGACTGTTTTGATACCGTTTCCTCCCACCCGGGCTCTTTCCACCTGCCTCTTGACATCAAGCGAGATCGCAAATAGCACTGGAAAGCGCGCCCCCGGCGATGTTGTGTTCTGCCGGCGTTGGCTCTGCACCAACGGGTCGTGCGTTTCGTAGCACAGTTAACTCAGGCTGAGGCCTGGCCCGGGCTCGGGCGCATCTGTTGTCCTGAGAATAAAGGCCGCGTCCCTGCCCTCCTCGTGTGTCTCTCCCACCGCAACGGGACACCGCTGTGGTGTGTGATGCCACCGTTTCCTGTCGCATCTGAACGGGGCAGCTGCGCTTGCAGGCTCTTGTGTGTACAGCCCCTGGTCTGTCGAAGCTACGCTGGTGTTTGGGTAGCGAAGGAGGGGGCGTGCCATTGAGGGGGTTGGGGTCAGCACAGCAGGCGTTCTGTGTGTTGTGGGGCCTTTAGAGACCTGCCTGGAGTTGTCGCTTGCTGTCAACCGTAATGCACCAAGGTTCGTGCGAAGTTGCGTTCGTCACCGGACGTCGGCCCTGCTGGCCAAGCCGGAGCCCTGTCAGGTGCCCAGCAGCAGGCTCGTGTATTTGCTGTTTATGGAATGTGTATACAAGCCACCTGTGAGCACAGCTCTCAGATGTAGGATTCCCCCTGGCGGGGGCCCGGAGGTGGGCACGCCTGGGCATCTCCTCCTCTGATGGCTGCCTGCTGTCTTTTTCAGCCCCTGTACTCCATTCCCATGACGCCCATGCCAGTCAGCCAGGCCAAGACCTACAGAGCAGGTAAAGGTGAGAATGACACCGTCTCGCTTGCTCTTGTTCTGCACTAGCATGTGAATCGCCCCAGTTGCCTGGCCTGTGGTTCTGCCTCGCGGGAGCTCGCCCCACCCTGGAATGAGCCCCCTTCTTCCGGGCAGAGCCTCGCTTGGGCCCCCCATTCTCCTTCCCGGCAGTTTAGGAGCGGGGCTGCGCGAGGCTGCAGTGCCCTGGCTCCTCCCCCGGCGTGTTTTGCTCAGAGAGGCAAAACTTTCAGTGCGCTCCAGGATGCGGCCCCGTGGGCTCCTTCCGGGGTGCGAGCTCCACGGAATGCAGCGGGGCTCCGATTTCGCATGTGCCGCAAGAGGGAGGGCGCCCGCCGTCAGCTGCTCTCTCTCCGCCCTCTGCAGTCTCCAGCGTGCCTCAGCAGCGGCAGGACCACCCAAACACCATGATGCACCCGGCCTCCGCTGCCGGGGCGCCGATCGTCGCTACGCCGCCGGCCTATTCGACCCAGTACGTCGCCTACAGTCCTCAGCAGTTCCCCAACCAACCCCTCGTTCAGCACGTGCCACATTATCAGTCTCAGGTACGCCGTCGGCCGTCTCCCCGGTCCTCCCTCACACCAGGGCTCTGGCTTGCGGGTCGTCCCATGGGATGCTGTGCGGGAATGGGCTGCCCAGCTCCTCCCAGGACACAGTCGTCAGCCTGGGGGTCCACACAGAGGCTCTGCCGCCGCCCCCCTCTTCGCACGGCGGGAGAAGGCTGGCGCGCACGGTTCCTCCTCCGTGCAGGCCGGACCAGCCAGCAGATGCGGGCGCCCCCCGGCCCCCCCAGGAGGGGACTGGGCCCAGCGCAGGTGCAGCCAGTGGCGAGGCCTCTGCGCCCTCCAGAGGGGTGAGCTGCGGCCCCTGGTGTGTGGCTCCTGCGAGCTGGAATCGGGCGGCGTCCGGGGGCGGCAGGTCCTGGGCCCTGGTTTAAGCCACGCATGGCTCGCGAGGAGACCTGTGTGCCAGCACCGGGCTGCCTCTTTCAGCCAGGCGAGCTGGGGCCGGCCCCTCCGAGACCCCCTCCTCCGATCGAGCCGAGCATCGCCAGCCGTGCACACCGCCAGCGCCACCACAGGCCTTTTGTCGCAGTCGAGAGGTGCCGGCGGCGATCTGTATTTTCCTCACGTACATTTCTCCCTCTGTCTTCCGTGCGCCCCCTGCAGCACCCCCACGTTTATAGCCCCGTCCTGCAGGGCAACGCCAGGATGATGGCACCACCGGCACACCCGCAGCCCGGCTTAGTTTCTTCCGCCGCCACGCAGTACGGTGGGCACGAGCAGACACACGCGATGTATGGTAGGGCACCGTTCGGGTCCCGTTCTGAGGGGAGACGCCGTGGCTGAGCTGATGGGGAGAGGAGGGGGCGCGTTGTGCTCGAGTCTGTTTAAAATGCACTGAAACCCGTTTGCATGGCCACATGGTGACTGAAGATTCCCATCTAGTACCTTAAGGCCGAAGCACGGCATGCGACTGCATGAGCCGCTGAGGCAGCCGTTTAAAATGTCTGCATCAGATCCCCTCTTGAAGGTACAAGACAGCGTGGCCGAATTTTGCCACCCCGCCCCCCGGAGCCTTTTCCGAGTGCTGGTCTGTCACCCAAGGCCAGCCTGCACATGCGTGGCTTCGCTTGCACGGGTCATCGGTCCCGAAGGGTGGCTCTCTGTCGCCCCTGTGCCCGTTTGGGCACCGTACGGTTTGGCAGGGGCGAGGCAAAGCTCTGAAGAGTTCGTGGAGGGTGCTTTTGCACCCCAGAGCCTGCTCCTCCTCGGTCGTGCGCTGTGGATGTGAGGCATGAGGCCGCTCCTCTGGTCCCAGTCTTGGGAGCAAGTTTGGCTGCTGGGGCAACGCTCCTGCAGCCCCCAGGCCTGGGTCCTGCGCTGCCTCCTGGCCACAGGCCGCGTTGTCTGCGCTCGGCCCGCTGCGGCTGGCTGACGCGAGACGCCGTCAGTCAGACGTCGTGTAAAGGGAGCGTTCACCTCTTGGGCCAAGGATGGCTTCCCTGTGGGTCGGCTAGCCAAGCACCTGCGTTACCTGTTTGTGCTGGCTTAAAGCAGGCTACTTAAAAGAGTGTATTTAGGATGTCCATCAGCTCTTCTGGGGTGCAACTGCAGGTGGTGCTAAACGATACTGGGCTCAGAACGTCCCTCTTGCCATTTTGCTGCCTGGCATGAGCTGCCGAGCGCGTTTTGGACTCAGTCGGGTTTCATCAGCCTTGGAATGGGGCCATTTAATTCCTTCCTGGCCCGTGTGCATCACCGCTGCCAGCCGCACATTCCACAAGCTGGGCCAGTCGCGAGATGTGTCACCCCTGAGGAGCTCCTGGGGAACAGTTGCTGCTCCGGGTGCCACATTCGTGAGGGTGATTCAGGGGCAGAAGCAGCCACAGGCCCACCAGTGGAATATGGGAGGGGGTTTTCAGAGGCCTGGGTGAGTCACACCCATGAGCAAGAACTGCTGACTTGTAGTCGGTGGCCTGGAAGAGGCCTCGGCCAGCCATGAGCCCTCGGCTTAGCGGGAGGCTGGGAACGAGCAGGATAGAACGGTTTTGTTGAGAACTTTCTAGAAGTGCCTTCTTTATTAGCAACATTGCTGGCCCCGTTTTGTCCAGCCGCCATAACCAGAGCCTTGGGAGAGGTCGCAGTTCCGTAGGGCGCCTGAATCTTAGAAACATTTGTGTGTGTGTGTTGCGGGGGGGGGTGGGGTTAAATTATGTCGCAGGAACTACATCTTAGAAATGTCTTCAACCCGGTGCCCTCCAAGTATGTTGGACTCCACTTCCCAGCATGCCATGCCAGAGGTGCACAGCCCTGAGCCTAATATGGGGCTACAGTTCCATTGAAAAGACGGCGATTTTGAAAAAGCCCTCCCTGAGTAGCTTTTTCTGCGCAGCTCATCCTTTCTGCCCCTTCTAAA